GGGGGGGGGGCAGTCATTCCTCCAAACCCATTGTTATTTTTATGCAAATCATCATTCAACTCAACCGGGCAATGGGCTCCATTGTATTATCGTACAGCGCTGTCGTTTGTTGAACGAGAATGCTGGATTGAGCCGGCCAGCGGTGCGAGACTCCTCCACTCAATGTTGAACAGATGAGCGTATCTGGCATGTGCTATCACGTCTACTGTTGGAGTAACTCGGATAAGAGGCTCTACCCTCAGCAACAACATCAACTTGCAGACGACCACACAAATGAGCACTTCAACCCTTGAATCCGCTTCATTTTGTATTGGTACCTCATGAAGCATCGCCTCGAAAGTTTGTCTACCTAACTAGCAACGTCACTTCAAAGCGAGGCCAATTTTACTCAACTTTTTTTTTTTATATTTAGCGCCAATTTTTCAGGTTATCAATTTCCCCTCATAACTGTGCTGCTCGATTTTTCAGTGAAATAAATGACCTTCATATAGCGGCTGACAGCTAAAAGAGGCATTTAAAACACGGACTGGTATGGAGAAATTGTGTACTGGAACGGAATACTGGGCAGGATGTGCAAATTTTTGCATTAATCGGCGCTGAAAGTGGCTCGGTGGTTGTTAAACTGCGGAAAGAAAAAGAATTAAGAAGTTTTAGGACGATATTTCAGCTTAGGAAACAATGCAAATCGTTTTGTTCCATTCAAACTTCCATTCAACAAAGATTCTGATTTGAATGGAAAATTTGCAAGTCTAAACTTGTTTTTTAAAATTTCGGCTGTAATTTCGGTTTGACGAAAAGTGCCACGCTGGCTATTTCTGAGTACGTCCACCTCTAAATAATAAATTGCACATTTATCCATGTTCTGGCTAGGTGGGTGGGCAATGGAAGAGATGGATTTCCATGCTTTTGCTGCTGCGAGTGGGGCTGGGCAAGGGCGGAGTGAAAGCAGCTGTTTGAAGACTAAAAACGACAAGTTGAGTGGGGCAGTGTTGAATTTAGCCGGCAGTTATCAAAATCGAATGTTTGGAGCTGTAACAGTAGTTGAGCTGCTGTTACTGAACTGGTCAAAGGGAAACCAAAAGAATCGACTAGATGATGCAGTCCTACGCTAAAAGTAATGAAAATGGCAGCGAAGTCCCAGACTGGGTTGCTTATAATAAGTGCTCATCAACTACCAAGGACTGAGTGGTTTTCATTAAGCGCGTGCATTCTGGTTGCGCGTTGCTGCCATGCATCCTGGTATTTCTATTTTTGAAGTAATCCTGGTGAATGAAGCTAGTGATGTTGGAGGCATGAACAAAAACTTCAGCGCAGTGATCGCGTAACCGGAGCTCCACCGATTAGAATTCTGAAATTTTTGAAATCTGGTTTCCCGCCTATTTTTATTAATTGATGAATTCGGGTCTTTGCGTTTCTCAGCACATGTCAACACTTTCCGGATGATTTTTAGCATCCCTTTATATGAGGCACATAGGCACTTCAATGAACCAATGTGCACTGAGCTAGAAGAGGACAATTGACATATCAGCAGGTGCATAGCCATCGGCAGAACTGGAACGAGATGGCGGGAAGGCAGGCACTGCTGTTAGCTTCCATTTGTAAGACTGATCTGATGATGCTTCTAAGAAGCTGCGCCCTCAGTTCTGATTCCTCCTAGGGGCTTATTCCCCGATGATCATTGTAATCTCGATGCTTCCGCAACATATCACTCATCCTGTCTCAGCTGTTGCCAAGCGCTTTCGTCGCCAGCTGCTAGAGTTTCGCTCAATCCCTGCTCAATCAATTTTACATTTTAATGCCTTTTACCTTTTGTTACATGGGGAGGAGGAGGGCAGGAGAATGAATACTTGCTTCTCCCAACCCTCCTCCACTTCTGCTCACCGATAATCCAGAGTTTTTTTATCCAGTCAGTGTTTCACTGTCTTTCCTCTTCTTCCTCCTCTCTCGTCCTGAAACGTTTTGGAAAACCATTTTCTGTCAAGTAGCTCAATTCAGTTTTTAAATTGATCATTTTTAAATTCTGTTTAGCTGCGATTTGATTATTTCGCGCGATTTTTTGCATAAAATCAACGCTTTTACAGAGGTCTTTTTTTGTGAATTTTTGCGAAATTTTCAAGTGTTGAACTAGTCCGGACCAAATTTTCCCGTTAATTCGCAGTTCTTTTTCTTCGATTTCATGAATTAATCTTTTTTGCTCCTCGGATCAACTCGGTATGCTCTAACTTATTTAAAAGGAAAAGCTTGCTTGTTTGCGAAAAAATCCTGTATTTACAGAATATGCTCTTATCGCTTGGTTATGAAGCACACCATCACGCTGACGCAGCTTATGCTCTTAAGCTCAGAAACATTTTGATGATCCGCTCTTAGACATTCGTAATTTTCTCGCTGCTGTACCTGGAGAGTCTCTGTACATTGCTAATGCAGGAATTTCTTTTGAATGATGCTCTTTTTCGATTTAAGTCTTTAAAGTAACAAATGTTTTATTGTTACAACCTTATGAGCCTGTTTCCTACTTGGTTTATTTGATACAATCAGTTCTTAACTCTTTCATCCAGTCAGTTCCTTTGTACAGTATTTGGGGATTTGTGAAATTTTCCAGCATGAAATTGTCGTGTCTGAATCGCTGGCCAGTGGTATACCAAAGTGTTTTTATAGAAATTTTAGGGATATAAGCAGAAAATATCCGTGACCAGGAGACTGGAAGAGGATGAAGGGCTTGAAATCATCTGTGTGTATGTAGTTGGTTCTGCGTTGCTGGCCTACCATGCAGAGAAACACAGTCGAATTTTGATAATTTAATGAAAACACTCAAAAGTGGCAATTAGATCTCCCACATAGGCAAGTCTGTATGTAAGTATAGAAAATTTAGCGCAGACCTCAGTTTGCCGCTTCGTTGTTTTTTGGCAAACATTTCTTCTCCAGCAAACCTATTAAAGCATAACTGCGGTATTTTGACAGAGTTCAGCATCTTCGTGATAATTTTTCCTCCATTGGCTCTACCATTCTTACAACTAGATCATTTGTGTTTTTGAATCCCTCCACTCTTCAGTGTTGACATTGCGTGGGTACAACGACATTCGCTACAATTTTCCGTTCTGGATGTGCCACTGATGGCGAATGATAACATTTTGTCTGTTGTTTTGATTTTATTTTGCGGCACTGCGACTGAATTAGAAGTGAACTGTGCGTAACTGTTTCTACTGAATGTAGTAGGAGAAGGCACTGAAGTGAAAAAAT